GTTTAGTCTCTCAGGATACACACTTAGGGAGGGGTCAAATTGTGATGTATTACTTGCACCTCACCAATTCGGAAAATATTTAGAAATATTATTTTCAGTATTTACCACTGGTTTACAATTTTATTGCTTTTTCATTTAATAAACTTATTTACTATTCCTTTATTACAACATCCTTTCCACAATAAAGGTGAAGTCAATTAGAAATAGATGGGCCCCTTGGCACGGTTGACCCTAATGCCAGCATTCAAAATTTTGGCAATAAAACTTCTCCACCTCTTTGGACATAAGTGATTTTGCAGGGGGACAAAAAAAGGGGGTCAGGATTGCCTTCTTAAGAAAAGTTACCTGCCATTCTTCTTAAACATTTCCAAGCTATGCAGGGAATGAGATTTGTCTCCACCTTGTGGTAGGGCATTGTGTGTCCCTCAGCACAGCAAACAACAAACGTGAATGTTCTTCTGTTATTTAAATACTTTTATTTTTAGCCCATAGGGGACTTTTTATCTGTTTCTAATTGTATTTATTTTTGCGCTCCTTCAGAATAAGACCTTGCCCATAGAGCGACACCACCAGACTGGTCTGGAGGCAACGGTATGGCATGTGTGTGGCCCGTCTCATTGCTGGAGGACTCCGCCCTGAGTCATTTTCCTTCATCCTCCAAAGGGTTCCATTACTTTTCTTTCTAAGTTATTAATAAAGCCTTTTCATATCTACACTCAAAGAGCACATTCTCAAGCTTGCTGACTTCCACAATTTCAACAGGACTTCATCACACTGACATTTCACACAGAGAATCATTCATAGACGTCCTTCACGTTTACTTTAAAATCCTTCTTTCATGAGTTGTCCTTCTATATGAATTAGAAAGTCATCAGCCTAATTTTTTCAAGGAGATCAGTGCAAGTGCCCTGAAATAGCAGCAGCATTAGTGTGTGACCTGGACTGCTCTCTGCGTGTTATTCAACTGTTTTCTTTTTTCTGACTGAATCTTACTCTTCTGCCTTTTGTCGATAACAGGGAAAGTACCGCTGTCAAGGCATTCAACCAACACAGACACCCATGCCTGTTCGCATGAGGGTGGAATGGTGGGAGTACATCCAATCCTCTACAGAACCGTTCACCCCGTCGGCTTTTGGGCCAAGACTCCAAATCGATGCGGCAGTGCCACACACAATAACCAGTGGTCTAAAAACAGGACGAAACGCTCTCTGCTGACTACTGGGCCTGTCAAACACTTGCTTAAACACTTCCCTTTAAAAATGTATATATTGATGAATTGGGAAACTGAAATGACAATTAATAGCCTTCGTTAGGCGTTTTCTGTTACGTAATGACAGTAACTGATACCTTATTTAAAATAACATATTATATTTAAAGGGATTGAATTGCAGTTTTGAACACAAATACTTTATTATATGTTGTTACTGTGAACCCTTGCACATATATTGGACATTTTTGCCACATTTTTATGCAATTAACTTTATACATGAGAACATGCTTCATATTGTACCATATTTTGTAATATTTGTAATGTATTATACTCTTATATATTATGTTGGTATGTTCCTTGTAGAAGCCTACTTGTAACAAAATCAGAAGTACCCAGAGAGTAGTGCCAAACGAATTATACTTTACAGACCATCAAAACTTCCACACCAGGAAAACAATGAATACTTCACATTTTCGATTATTATAACACAACTTCTAACAATAATTATGATACAAAAGATGGCTATCCTGCCAATGCGATTTAAGAACAACTCTCACCCATTAGCCTGGTTATTGATGCAATAGTGTGAAACTCTTTCCAAAAGGGTCCCACACGGTAAATCATGGAGGGGTCACAAGATTAACTGAAGACAGACAGAAAAAAGGTCAATGTTTTATCTTTTAATCAATTTACCTTTTGATAGTTCTGGAAATAGATAGATCAAGGGCCTGATGGAGCAACATCACTCTTCAAATAAAAACTGCTCACAACTCCAAACACAGGACCCATCACCTTGAGAGGAAAAGAGATAATGCTTCACTTTGGAACAGGAGCAAATATCAAGTCCCAGGCTCCGTCCAACAAAGCAACATAAATATGATAAATAAGACCCTTAAATAATAAAATAAAAACAATAGATAATAGTACAAGAAGTAACCAGAAAGGAACAAAATAGTGCAAGAGAAAGATGTTTGATATGGACGATGGTCAAGGAATGCAGAACTTATTCCACAATAGGTTCAAACGTTTAGCTAACCTACATATAAATAAGTGTTTTCTGCGGTAGTGGAGACGCTGACTTTACTAACACACTTCTTTCTCTGATGAGCATTTTGGGGGGGGAGGGAAGGGCTTGCAATCAAGGTGCTGAAAGAGCAACCGTACCAACAGTCGTGAGAGGTGACTTCCTGAACGCGCCTGAGGTGATGCAGGAACCAGAAAGAGACTACTAGACACAGATTCCCTGAGTTGCTCCCGAATGTGTGATGCCAACGGTGGTCGTGAATGTTGTTGTGAATGTTAGGCCCCGTTCCACACGGACACGAAACGCGTTGTATCCCGAGGAGATACAGTTCTCTATCGTATGGACGGTTCGGTTCACAGAGGCCGTAACGGAACCGCGGAAACGGGATCCCTCAAACGGTAACGGAGTCCCAAGGTGGATAGATCTGCGGACGAAAACGCTCTGGGGGGCCAAACGGCTCACTCCGTGTGTACGTCCTATACGATCATTTCCTGATAACGATGAAGCCATAGCCCCGCCTCTCGCCACCTCTGCTGCTCACCCCCGCGTCACCGCTGATGTGTTTCGCCGCCAACAACAACAACAACAACAGTGTTCCGAGTGTTTCGAGCCAGGTCCCCGGTATCTCGCAGGACAGTGCACCCAGCAGGAGCCTCCAGCAGACCCCCCCGCACGGTTCCCTTGTTCCTTGGAAGAGGTGGAGAGGTGGGTGTTTTTCAATCTGCTGGTGGACTACCGGGGAGAACGTCCTGCTCGGGTGCCCGGCTCAGAGTTAGTGGCAGTGGGTGCGGTGTACCTGCCTTTTACAGCAGGAGCACACGCTCGCCTCGGGGAGGGAGAAAAAGAGAAACAGAGGCCGCCGAAACAGCCAGAGCCCTGCCTCTCCCCACCTCTGCTGCTCACTGCTGTAGCATGGTCAGTAGCTACTGCTAGTGACCATGCTACAGATGTTAGTGCAACATCTGCAGCTCCTCTACCACAACCATCAGCAACAAGTGGACATGGAGAACTACATGTTGCTAAATCCACCGCGGAAAATAAACAGAAGGACAACCAGGCAACCATGGCAACCATGCTCGGAGGAGTTTTCTTCGCTGCTTTTGGTGTATTTTGTGGCGGAGGTACAGCGCCACTTACAGGCCCGGCATATATACTACAGCGTCTCCAGCGGGTCGAGCGGCCTCGTGTGGACGGACACGTTTCTTGAGCCGATACCGTGAGGACGGAATACTTTTTTGATATCGAATTCGGTTAGTTTTCGTCTCCGTGTAGATGCAGCCTTAGTTTCCTAAAGCAATTGGTACAGCTCTGTATGAATGAGGTGTGAAAGGGTGAATGCCTTGTAGTATGTGAAGCACTTTGAGGGGTAGTAAAGACCTAATAAAGCGCTATATAAGTACAGCCCATCTCTAGAACATTACAACTTTAACATATCTCTCTCTTCTTCAGGTATACGACACGACATCTAAACGATGACAGCACCTCCAAACAAATCAGGGCCCTCCTGCAATGAGAAGGTTCAGAGGAGAGAAGGAGCGCACTTGAAGGAGAAGAGAAAACGAACGCCAGTGTCTGATAAAACCTGTTGGTTTACAACGATCAAAGAAGAAGAGGAAAATAATTATATATATTGTCAGCTGTCCATCATTCTGTCTCTCATTTTGTAAAGTAAGAAAAGAGAAACAAAGCCAGAAAAGAAAATATAGATATATATTAAAAACAAGTGCAACACAAGCAGAAGATGAAACATAAGTAGGACTAGAGTGGGAGTTATATTGCAAAATCTAACGTCAGAAACGACGCAAACTGAAAATGTACAAAAAGAAACAAAAAAAGGGTTCATGTTCCAGCAGTAGTCTGACAAGTATTTTTGCACACAAACAACACCATGTCCTTTCCCCTGAAGATCTGATCCCAAACTGACCCCTGCAGACTTTCCTGTGCCCCCTCACACACTCGCTTTTTAACTCTCCAGATGTAGTTTCCTCCTTCAGCTGCTCCGACCTCCACCTGCAGGAGATTTAAGAAGCAATGTGATGGATGCACTCCGGAGATTTGCTTCCTGTTTTGTTTATTTAATGCATCGGTGCAGCTGAAGGAAAGGAGGCAAGGAGATGAGTGTTATTTCATCTCCATTATCGCTAAGTTTTCTCCCATCATTCCTATCCATCCATCCTTAGGGGTTTCTCATTGGCACAAAATCTCCATCATATGTGCCCTGACACTGTATACGATCCAGCATCATGTGTGTATGGCTTTACTTGAACAATGTAGTTCACTCTCTTTCTCCATGGTGCTAATGTGGTTTAGATATCACAGTACTAGCTTGTTAGATATCCGTTTATTCGTCCCTCTTTTGCACTAATCTCAATTTTTGAGAACATCTGCTATAAGCTTTAATGTGATTTCACATTAGTGCACAAACAGGGACGAATCACAAGACATGTAAACTCAAAAAAAGGCTTTGTAGGAAACCACAGCACACTTACTTCTTCACCCAGTGCCAAAGCTGATTGGTTATTGCTTTTATTTCATCATGAAGCGAGGATCTGAGGATTTAAGGGGGTGAAATCTTGTAAAACATCACTGATAATCATTTTAAGAACACATGAAGGTGCAACACCAATTCATGCACATAAAAGTCAGAAGGTGATTCACACACATGCATTTTAAAAGGGGAGATCTGCAGTGTAAATATGTGAGGCTTTTTTCAACGGGCATCTACATGGTCAGCTTGGGTCCTCAAGGAACAACATTCATCAAAAAACCTGCATAGAGTTATTTCTTTTAGTACGAGGTTGTCTAAAGAACTAAGTAATTGAATAAGTGAAAATAAAAAACTGAGATTAAAAAGAAGTGCTGTACTTTGGATGTCTATAGCCCTTAGTCTAATTTAATTTGATCTTATAATATATTTTCTATACAGGGGTATGTGCACAAGCATAGTCTGTATAAATATATAGATGGCATGTTGTAAGAGTTCTGACAGAAATGTGTACATAAGGTGTTTTTATTCATTTTTAATTGTTCAGTGACGCTGGAATTGGGTATGTGTTGTCTCTCAGAATTACCATGCGTTTGGCTTGGACCATCAGACTTGCCGTAGTCATAGGTTTCAGAAACTCAGCTTCATTATTGCAGATGAACCAGAGGGAGGGGAGGGG